AATACAAAAAAATAAAATAAATTTTAAATGGCAAAATAACAGCAGAAGGCAAAATGACAGCACGGTCATTCCATTGGACAGATGAGAGAACAAACATTTAAAGACTTTTTTAGTTTGAGTAACAAGAAGTACATCAATCTAATCATGATCATAATATAGTATTTGGAAATAGCAAGAATGACAGACAGAAACAAAAGGAGAGTAAAGACGTAGTACCAACCAGTAGCCCCCTTGAAAAAAAATCCTCAAAAAGTTTTTCTTTGGGTCAGGACTAACAAAGATAAAGTATCACTACGTTTCGGCTTTCTGTGACAGTGACTCTTCAATAGTGTTTCTGTGTAAGTTGGCAGTGAGAACAAAATCAAATTCAGCAAAACCATAAGGGGAAATAGAAAGGACCACCTTGGATTTATTCAACAACACAACAAGAAGACAACATTAAATGAATCACACCTAACCGGACAAAAGGGATATCAAGAACGAAATAAGATATAGATCAAATACTAACATTTCACAGCAGCAACAAAAACTAACAACTTTCATGTCTATCTGTGCTAAATCCAGCCGCTATCTAACCGTGAGCATCTTGGCTGGGAGGATGGAGGATAAAAGTTAAATAACTTGAGTCTTATCATAAGGTCACATGGTCAGAGGTCCTGATGATTTTTACAAAATTGTTGCAAAAGATATAAAAGAACCCTTCTACCCATTGGCCAGTCTAACTGACAGACAACCATTAAAGAGTGGAATATGCAAGCTTCATTTACACTTAATAAAAATATAAAGGTATTTGGCGACACAGTTCTGAAGGGACGAAAGAGAAAGAACAAGGGCAATTTTGAAGTCTTTTATTTTTGCATGACAGGAGCCTTGAACACATACTGAAAAAAAAAATCTCTAAAAAAGCCCAAACATGGCTGGTTATTCTGGGACTCAGTATTTTTAGTTTTAGTAGAGGTTTTACGGCGTTCGCAACTGCATAGGGTCATATGAAAGCCAAAAGATTAGAAGTGTTACAAGAGAGTAACAAACATAAAAAAGAAAAAGTGGAGAAAAGGACGACAGATGTTTGATAGGAAAGAAGGAGCAAACCACACCAGAGCACCCGCCAACCACCCGCTGGGATTCAGTATGACTGCAGTTTCTGTATTTCTAACTGGAATAGGAAAAGCAAGTTCATAGATGTCGTCTAGACAACAAATGATCATCTTTTGTATTCAGTGACCACTTTTCAATTTTATCTGATCAACAGCAGAACAATATAAAAATCCACCCATCGACTTGGGGGGGG